TCAGCCTGACAGAGGCTTATATGCATTTTTTGATCATTTCTGAACCCAATAACTCTCCTCAAACCTGATTGACTTAACAGTGCATCATCTGGAATTATATAGCAATATCAGGCTTTTCTAATTTTTCCAACATGCCACAGCAGTGTCAGGTACTGATGTCCCAGTCAAAGGCCTCCCAGAGCACCAGGTTGGTTACCATCCTGGTCAACAATCCACAAGCCACAATGCTTACCGTGGGGACCTAGCCACACCTGTGACAAATTTCTTTCAATTGCAGCACGAGACTGCCTCAAAAGCTTCGAAGCCTGAGAGGAGGGCTGAATTGATGTGTAGGGCAGTTACAGCCAGTAGCAAGATTTTTGATATTTTCAGGAATTTTGGAGAATGTTTGGGGTCAGGTACTGCTGTCCTGGTCAATATGGCCACCAACCAGGGGTCGGATTCTGATCCCGGTCAAATTGCCTAATATGGATCCTGGTAAAAAAAATCAAAATCAGGTCTGCATGTATCTGACCTATCACTGTGGGAGTTACACTCTTTTGTGCCTAGCAAAAGATTGTATGGTAGGGATATATGAAAGATGGGCTTTTGTAAATGACTCTGGGGCTCACAAAAGATCATCTTTATTGAGAATTTTGAAGCTTGTAATATATATTTACAGGAGTATTATCTTTGTTGATACATCATAATTGCATCTTCTAAGTCCCTTCTGATACTGGAGGATTTGTAGTCTCCAGGGCCAGGCAAAAGGTTGTACAAAAGGGGATTCTGAGCCAACCAGAGCCTGCAGAAATCCCTTTCATACAACCTTTTGCCCAGCCCCAACACTTTGGGAGTTGTAGTCATTAGGGTCAGGCAAAAGGTTGTACAGTGGGGAATTCCCAGCCAATCAGAGCTCATGGAATTCCCTTCCATACAACCTTTTGTCTGGCCCTAAATACTGTAACTTCCAAAGTGTAAAGATTACAAATCACCTGAAGTGTATCTAGGTATTATCAGGCGTCCTACACAAGCATACCTTGTCACGAGAGGACCCCTGAAAATACTGATTGAAGTTAGATGCCAATCCCATAAAAAAAGCAAGGTCTGGAGGCCGTATGTTAGATACAGTTGCTGTTAGGAAGCAATGTCCTAACTAGTTGTCTTGAGATAACTGGGCCACGTTGATTGGCACTAACACACGACAACACCAAAGACCAAAAAGAAATAGAACCTAAAACACCCAGCGGTATGGGTGGAGGCGGTCTAAGGTGATTGAAGGGTAATATTTAAGTTCGAAGGGAGGGGGAGAAGTAAGACGCCGTAGGGTAGTCCATAGGAAAACCTAAATAAACAAAATCTTGAGGCCTGAAACAAACAGTATAGCGATTCTCCGGAGTATTTATCTCCGAAGTTCGCCAGTAGCCCGGGTGGGGAGTTCCACTGAACCCACACAATAGTCTCTTGCCTACAGACACTTGATGAATTTTATACTTTAAATCCGGAGCTTACTAGGATCGATATGCGACCGCGGAGTTATTTAGTTTCGACGAGTCAGGCCTATTGGCAAAGCTAGGATCGATTGTAGATGCTAAGTCCGATGCAAGGGGACTTCGAGGGTCGCTGAGACAGTAAATCTGGTACGCTGAGAGGGTGAAGTACAAAAACCTTGTATTTTCTACTATGCTCCATACATTTTTATGCCATTGGAATGGCTTTGCGCCCGTCCGGAGTTAAATAACAAATATGCTCCGCAACCCACACAATTACTCAGCCTTTGCCCACCGCTATACCATGTCCCATACGATCCTGCCGTGTTTCCACATGCTCGTCCTAGGTCCTAGAGGTATCCTCGACGCGTCAATGCTTGCTTAAAGTGCCTCATCACGCGGTACTGCAGGCCGATCACGTGCGGTTTAGCTCCGGCCGCTTGCTGACTGATACATTCCGTCCGGCCGTCGATTTACGTCCACTGACTCGGTCGCTTGATGGCAACGAAGGGGCATGATGACTGGGGAGTGGCAATAACAATGACTCACTGCGACGTGGGCCTCTGCCATTCCTGGAGATAATTAGTCACAAAGGTATTCTCCCAGGTGACTTCGGAGCGTCTGGCTGCGGAGATAAATCATGTTGGTGATCTGCACCTACCTTGAGGACATTAGAAGGTCCGGAGATAAATCCAGAACCCATCGTCAGTTACTTGTAGCGTAAGAGGTTCGACAGGTGGTGTCGAATAAACTTTGGAGGGGATGTACGATGTGTCAAGTCCGCAATTTCGGGGGTCAGAAGATCATTGGGGCTTATCAACATACCAAAGTTATGTCGTTACTACCTCAGTAAGCGTACTGAAAGGTAGGTCTGGCCGGGCCGATGCCAACGGTCAAGTCAAGAGTCCAGGTAATCGCTGTATTCAACAAGAGGTTGAACTAAGGAATACATGGGTTTTCCTACAGTATATATAGTAACTGGTATAGGGGTTAATACCCAAAGAAGGGAACAATAAGAAAGGACGCATAAGCTATCCTGTGAGAACGTAACTCAGAGAAATGAGAAATACAAGGGCGCCCATTGGTAGAAGGTGAGTCAAGGGAGATAACGTGTGAGAAGAAGATAGTGTCCATGGGAAGGTCTACTCAGAGAAAGGTACTGTCCAATAGCAATGCTCGGAACGGAAATAGAATGAGATAAACATAGGAAAATCATAACAGTTGCAGTAAAATATGGTGAAGCCCCCAAAAGGCCGGATACTTCAGTTCAGGTAGAAGTGAGGCTTGATGTTCAAGGTCAGATACCATTGTGGTACATCCCAGCTTCTCCCAGTAACTCAATCACTTGTTTGTGCAACTAGAATTTGCCACAATAGATGTTTGAGGGGAAATTAGGCCATTTGGGCGCATCTTAGCCTATATGTGGTGTATTGTAACAAATTGTCTTCTTGTGATCAAATTTGGCTGTGAAAACCCCTTGTAACCAGATCAAAATCTGGAGGTTGGATACCTGGGTCCCGGTAAATTGCGAGCCACATGGCGAGGTTGGTATCACATCCTGGTAAAAATGGCCAAACTAAGCGAAATTCAGTCCCATTAAAAAGTAAGAAATCAGGTCCTCTGATATCTAACCTCCATTGGTATTTTCAGGTGTACTTGCACTGTGGATAAGATCCTCTCTGCTGTTTCTGTGAGCTATGTACTGGTTTCTGGGGAAGCTCTTGACTTGTGAATTTTCAGGGAAGCTGGAATGGGCTGCTGGGCTGAGTGAGAACTGGGAGGGGTAGGCTGGATATATGGGCAGGGTAGTGGAGGGTTTTGATAGTGGGAGGAGATCTGGGTGCTTCATGGCATATGTTGTATGTACTGCTATGTTATGGCTCATCAGGGGACTGATGTATTGGTGTGTTTACATCTCCAAATCATCTCCTAGCATTCTTCCCTGATGTCAGGTTCCACAGCATGTTGCTTTATACACCACAAGGATATATCATCACAGTGATCTATTTATGGGATGACAGGATAGAGTACAAGATTCAGAGGACAGTGCAGAATGTCACCACATCAAGAATGAGACACTGTCCAGCACCCAGATCTCCTCCCATTGTCACAACCCTCCAATACCCTTCCCATATATCCAGCCTACTCCTCCTATTTCTCACCTTAGCCCAGCAGCCCATTCCAGCTTCCCTGAAATTTCACAAGTCAAGAGCTTCCCCAGAAACCAGTACATAGCTCACAGAAACAGCAGAGAGAGTCTTATCCACAGTAAGTACACTAGCAGGTGCCCTTGAATTTCACATAAAATTCGAAGATGCTCAAGTGCTGCTCAATTCTTATTTCGTTCGTCCGTTCGTCTGTTCGTTCGATTGAGCGCGTCCAAAAGAGTGAGGAAGCAATGATGGCCGGCGATCCGGGACCACGGTCATGTGATGTGTTCTCCGTTGGTGGCCGGCACATTTATTTCCTGAGGCTTTTTCGAGATATATGCACAAGCATGATAAGAGCCCCAATTGGGTCAATACTCAGCCAGGGCACCCGGTCCATACATCTCAGGATTGCTATGAGGAGAATAATGTGGCATGTAATCTACGTCGACGGATTTCGTCCACATAACTAGCCACGGAAATTCTCGATGCCTTGCCGCGACCGGTGAGCACATCACATGACCGTGGTCCCGGATCGCCGGCCATCATTGC